CGTGGGGCGGCCGGGAGCCATTCCTGAGCCCCGGGCAGTGGGCGCGCGATGCATGTGCGGCTCCCTCCCCCCAGCGCATGTGCGGCCCTGCCCCCCGGCCCCCCTTACAGCTGCCATCAGGCACCCCCCATCAGTTGGCACCCCGCGCAGCTGCCCGGCTCGCCCACCCCTTAGTCCGGCCCTGGGCACTCTCACCCCACCTAGTATGAGCTCACATCAGCCCAAATGGTCACTTTGGCCGCTGTGGGATTCCCAGTCTCTCTGGGTATGTCTACACTACCCCGCTAGTTCAAACTAGCGGGGTAATGTAGGCATACCGCACTTGCAAATGAAGCCCGGGATTTGAATTTCCCGGGCTTCATTTGCATAAGCGGGGCTCGTGATTTTTTTTTCATTTTAAATATTAAAATGAGGTCATTGCAGAACTCCCAGCATTGCAAGTCTGTGCCTTGCTTAAAAAACACATAAAGGGATGATAAGTAAGCTGCATGTTAAAGTTTGTAAATTGAAAAAAAATATTGATTGGGAATGTGAAAAGTTAGAGCTTTCCTCTGCTTCTAAATTGTTATATCTGCACATTTCTACAGCATCTTTATACAGTTTACCTTTTGAATAATTTAGATCTCTCACTTGAGTTGCAAACTGTTGAAGATCTTTTTGCTACAACAGCATCTTTCCTTGGCTTCTCAGCTTGGCACTTGTACAGTGGTCTATAACACTTTAAAGCAAATGCTATATTCCTCTCCCTTGGTCTAATGAGACTGGAAGTGGCATGGTACATCCAAGAATAAATAAGTTATAGAAAATACAGTAGGAGGATTCCTGGATACTGTGAATATATCTCATCTTTTCAATATTCAAATTAGTAAGCACATCTGAGCTTTGCTAGTTCTTGAACTGGTATCCTGGGATTCTACATTGTTCTCTTCTCTGTCAGCCCAATTCTGTTATTCGAACCCATGGTAAATGGTATTCTACTCCAGGAGTGAACTGACTGCTCTGTCTAGCACTACTCCCACAATAAGGTCTTTAGGCTACGTCTACATTGGTGCGTTCTTACACAAAAACTCTTTTGCGGAAGAGTTCTTCTACAAAAACTCTTCCAAAAGAGCACGTCTGCACTGGCATGTGCTTTTGTGCAAGAGCATCCATGTCAGTGTAGATGCTCTCTTGCACAAGAAAGCTCTGATGGCCATTTTAACCATAGGGCTTTCTTGCACAAGAAATTCATGGTGCCTGTCTACACTGGACTCTTCTGGAAGAGCTCTTGCGCAAGAGGGCTTATTCCTCATGGGGAGAGGAATAACTCTTCCGGAAAAAGCCCTATTTTACAACACTATACTGTAAATTTACTTCTGGAAGAACACTCGTGCAGTGTAGACAGCCGGCAAGTTTTTGCGGAAGAACGACTGTTCTTCCACAAGAAGCTGCCAGTGTAGACGTAGCCCAACTGCACCCTCTCCTCTCTCCACTGTGGAATATCAGAGCTAATTTTGACTCCATTAGGAGTCTAGTTACAGGCTGCTGAGCTGAATTCATGTTGGGCCAATGGTGCACCGGCACTGAGGCTCCCCGACTATGGGCTGAAATCACTAAAGAGCTAAAATTTTACTAAGACCTGAACTCGCTGAGTGCTGCGGGGGAGCCTAAAGCTATATTGCTGAGCTGTAGGAGGGCGGCAGGCGGCCAGCGGAGCGGCTGGTGGGAACAACCGGTGGGACAGCTGGTGGAGCGGTGGCAGAGTGGCTTGCATTAAAGGCTGCAGCAGAACCCTTATGGAGAGGTGGGGCCGTTGGCCTCAGATCATGTAAGGTGCCCCTTATCAATCCCCTGCCTCCCCCATTCCACCCAGGTGACTTTTGGGGTGTTGGACTCTCTATCAAGACTTTTGGGGTGTTGGACTTTTGGGGACTTAAGGTGATTCTGGGCTGGGGTTTCGCTTTGCTCATAGTTTGGTCTATGAATCCTAGTTGTGGTGTTTTCCCAATTTAATGCTGATGTCAGTTACCTCATGCTATTAAAGATTTGCTGCTATACCAAGGCTCTGTGCTTGCGAGAGGGGAAGAATTGCCTTTTTGAGGCACCCAGAGGTGTGTGTAAGATTTCCCAGGTCACTGGGTGGGGGCTCGAGCCGGTGTTGCTTTATGTTGTTGGGAGGGGACCCCTAGGTACTGAACCCGGCCCTTACTGCTATTAACCAGGCCTAGCAGAAGGGTTACATAAGCAAAAATCTTACAGGCCTCAGCCTATAGGCCTTGCATTTCAGCCATGCTTTACTTCTATATCTAACCCACACACCTTTCCTAAACACTCATCAGTCTTACACTGCTATAATCCTGCAGCTTACACCTACATCCATTGATTATACATGCAATAGCATACACATTGCACCTCATAGCACAGCGATAAATGGATGATAAAATGAATTAATTGGCTACAGGAGCCAGTGGCACATTTTCAACGTTCTTTGTGAACTCAGCATCACCCCATTATCAATAGCTCTCGCTTTGTTCTCCCAGGAGGCTGACATACCACTCCGAATATGTGAGAGATGTACTGCATGCCAAACTGCTGGCTCTGGGCCGGCCAGAAGTTGAGGAAACTCTCCACGTCGACCCTCAGCTCTGTCTTCTCCTCTTCTCCAAAGTTTTCCACGTGGTTCTGCAAGTCATCAATGGAGACCAAGCAGCCCTCCGTAAGACCACCTCCCTCTCTCTCTATCCGCCACATGATGCGGGCTGCCAGCCTGGCCAATACAGAAGATTGTTAGGAAATTCCAGCGTGCTAGTGCAATCCACAGACAATCAAACCCAGGCCCAGCAAGGCAGCAGGGCCCGAATGGAGGCCATCACACTTCATTAGGGAAAAGCAGGAGTTGTATTTGGCCTCGATGAATTTCTCATCTGGAATTAGTTGAATCCATGGCTCCTGGCTCCCTTTGCAGGTTGCTGTTAATACAACTGAAAATGCCTTTCAAAGCACGGAAGGAAAACAATGCAGAATCTTAAAGCAGAGCAGGGTTGAGACTTCCCTGTTGTTCCCATCCTCTCCCTAGTTGTGGGTTGTAAAGCGCAAAACTCTTCAACCCAAGAGTTCAGTAATTTTTTTTTTCATTTTTAAAACATGGTATGAAATGTATCAACTTGTGGCTCTGGCTACAGTGCTTACCTTGCCCTCTGAGCACCTCTCACTCTTTAAAGCATACATCCACCTAGTGTACGGAGCAGGAGGCTATTACAGATTGAACCTCCCTAAAGCGTGACTCTCTGGTCCTGCAACATCTGTGGTCTGTGGGACTGTCTGGTCCTGCAACATCTGTGGTCTGACAGGACCATGGATGTTCCAGGACCAGAAAGTCTCAGTGAAGAGCTGGCGGCTGGGAGCCCTGCGGGCTGACAGGGCAGCAGGCTGCTGGTAGTGAGCTGCCTGCGAGGCTGAGAGCCTATCACGAAGCCATGGGGCTACCCAGCAAGGCCAGGGGCCCAGCATGCCGCAGCGGGGCTGGAAGCCCAGAGCGCTGCAACCGAGCTGCCCGGCAGAGCCAGGAAGCCCTGCACTGAGGCTGGCAGCAGGGAGGGAGCCAGCCGGGAGCTCGGCAGCGGAGTCAGAAATGACCTCAGTAAAAGCCCTCATCCAGGACTAGTCAGGTCCCAAGGGTACTGGAAGAGGGAGGTCCAACCTGTATCCCCATTTTACAGATGGAAAACTGAGATAGACTAGGTGACTTGTCCAAGGTCACAGCGCAAGAGCAGAGAACTGAACCTGCGTTGCCAGCCATCACTCTAACCACTAGTCTGCCCTTCCTCTACAGAGGCGTGGCACCTTCTGATTCATCACCCGCACTCTCCACTCCACCATATATCTAGTACCACCCTGGCAGAATGGACGGCCTGACAGAGCTCCCAGAGCCAGTGGCAGCATAGGGGGCACCCCATAAAGGGTGGACCCCCTATTTAGAGGAACCATCCCAGGATAATACACTCCGAGCTCCACAGGCCTGTGGGTGGACGATGTGCATAATTGCAACTGCTAGTAAGTTAGTTTAAAAGTGGCAAGGTGGTCTCCATCCTCCTTCTGCTTGTACCACACTGAACAATCATATGGGTGGCTGGCAACACACACTCCAATGCCAGCTCCCTCCAAGTGACTGCTCACCCCTGGAGCTTTGCATGCCACTTGCTAACAATCCCTCTCAGTCTCATGTATCAGAAAGGGGTATTTTTATACTGATGCTATTGATAGCTAGTCTGATAAGTGAAGGAACTGCAGTGAGGCATGGACTAAATCCAGGGAAAGCAGGTGGCAATTCCATGCTCTTGCTGAAGCCAACCTGCCCTTTTAATGTTTTATTTCAAGGGGAGATTAGCTTGCTTTGCTTCAGAAATGTTTGTTATTTTCTGGATGGCGAGAGCTGTCAGCCTTGCTGTTGGAAGGACAAACTTTCCGTAACACATTCCCCAATGTATTGGGTGGGGGCCAGTGAAAGGCCAGAGCTATTCCCAGATCTGCCCACTGCTCTAAGCTGACTGTTCCCCCCCTTCTCCCCCAATTCCAAACATTCAATAACTTCCCAAGCAATGAATGGATTTTCCTGTCCTTGGCTGTGTTACTCATGCAGAGTTGGAGGTGCACACCGCACTGTACAGTAGGTGGTTGGGACAGACACATAGCAGACCCTTACCTCAAAGTGAATGTACAGGTAGAACAGAGTGACACAAAGCAGAACAAACCTGGAGTGGCATTTGGTTAGGGTTTCCAAGAGGCCCTAGATCTCAGAGGTCCCCAAAGTCCTTTCAAGCAAGGACAGATCACAGTGCAGTGGCTGGGGCCCAAAACAACCTGAAGCTAGCACTGGGAGCAGGATGCACCTCGCCAGGAAAGGGGAGGATATGGAGGAGCAGCGGGACTGAGGGGGCACAGCAGGGAGAGGACAGTGAAAGGCAAAGCATGTAAAGGACCAATGGGTCAGAGGCAGAGGTGACATGGAACTAGCCACCGCCTGCCTGCACTTAGCCACTGCAGCAAGCAGCCAGTGCTGCCTGGAAATGGGGCGGGGGCCCGAGGCAGCCTGCTGGCCAAGAACTGGCACATTGCACTGGCTGGCTGGCTCCCGATGCTGCAGCTTTGACCGACCACCATCATCACTGGTGCTACTCACTCACTACTTGTGGTTGGGCGACTGGCGAGCAAGCATCTGACCAGCTGTAGGATCCACCAGTACTGATGGAAGGGGAGAGACAGAAAATACAGGGCAATTTGCCAATTATTTTTTAAAAAAGAAGGGACATCTGCAGAGGGCTTAAATACAGGACTGCCCCTTTAAAAAATGGGACATCTGGTCACCCTATTTCCGCTAGTCTTTGAAAGTTTCTTGTGGCTTCCCATGACCTAAGGAATGTCACAAATCACTGATGTTGGGGCTTGGAGTCCGGGACTGACAGGAATCAAAACCAGGGTGTCCATTTGGACACAAGCAACATTTCTACTTGGATCTTTCTCCCCTGACAAAACAATTTGGTCTGGGTTTGGCTTGAAAGGCTCTGCTGAGAGAGATGCTTTGGGGGCAGATGCAGCCTATCTTGCTGACCAATTGTGTCTCATTGTTTCCTTCTGCTCTCCTTTTGGTCTGTGGGTGTCTCCCTTTTGTTTCTTACTTTGACTGTAAGTTCTCAGGGGCTGGGTCCTGGTTCATGGCTAAGGGTGCCAGGCACTACAGTGAGACAAATACAACAGCAAGTCAAAGAAAGGTAGGGCCTTGGCAGGCAGAGGATGGAGTGATACCCTCTAGGTCTGTTGGCCAAGACTGGATTCACTTTTTGGGAGCCCAGCACCAAACATATTTGTGACCCCCAATGGGGTGTCAGTTCCTTGGATCAAGGCAGGAGCTGGAAGCAAGCACAATGGGGTGGAGGGAGAGGGTCCATCCCTGGAGTGAGGCAGGAACCAGGGACTAGCACAGGGGAGAAGGGCAGACAGGATCTCCCTGAGGTGGAGTGTAGCCAGAACCTACCTCTCTCCACCAGAGCTAGGCCCTTGGGAGCCAGTTCTCCCTCTCTCCAGCAACAGCAGCTGTTCTTCCTGACCTCCTGGAGCCAAACCTTTAGTATCCTCCATATCCGGTCAGCCCTTCTGACTGGATGCTGCTTTTTGACTGGCTGAAAACTGGCCACTGGGCAACAGGGGCACTGGAATAGGAGTAGTCAGGGGGCCATAGCTGCCCTCCCGCTTCTTTCCTGCCTTCTGGACAGCAACTGGGGGTGGGAGGAGTGAGCAGAGGACAGGGCCTCGGTGGAAGAGGCAAAATGGGAGTGGGAAAAGGCAGAGCAAGGCCAGGGCTAAGTAGAGGGCATCAGGGGAGAAGGGCAGGGGGCAGGGCTCTGGTCCCAGCACCAGTGGTCCTCCTACTTCTAGGGATCTTCCAGCACTCCTACTTGGCAATCATAATGGTCCACTTCCAGGTGTGGGCCCGCACAGTGGAGCCACTGGGGCTGGCTTTGGCCCAGGGCTATGAGCCTTGGGCTCTCCCTAGCTCTTTGTAACCAGCGGTTTGTGGAGGCTTCACTCCTGTCTAAAGCTGCATTAAGCTCTCTGTTGATTTCCAAACCCCAGAAGGGAAGCCCCCTTCTCAAGTTTACATTTTTCAGGCCTGCTCTGGAGCCAGACG